TCTAGACTTGGGCCAGCTGTGGCTTCCCAAGGACTCCTGCCTGTTTCAAGTGCAGTATCTCATTTGCACTTCCAGAGGTCCTAATACCATGTCTTTCGGTCTTAGTGTGCCACTGTTTCCTCTGCCAGGAGTTCTGTTAGGTCACATCTAGGTAGGGCTTTGTGGGCCCTGCCTTCGACACACAGAGGGCCTCTATGATGAGGGTACTGTTTGGTGTCCAGGGAAATGTTCACTCTAAGAGCATCTCCTGAATTGTAGTATATATGCAAGCTCCAGTTCTCTCTAACTGTGTGGCTCAGGTAGGAGCATTGATACCAACCAGCAGCTTGCCTGCCGTAATGTTTTCAATTCAAATGTTACAGACTCACTCTTGTGGCCTTGACGGTGCCATCTGCATGAATCTTCTTATTCAAACTGAAGTCTATGCATCTGCAGTCCCTGGAGCCTATCCAGTCTTGTTAAGTCTTGGTCTGCATTTTAGCAAGGCCTCTGACTGATTTGTAGGGACAATCAGGTTTAAGAAGCGCTCCCCAAAAGACGTCATGCTTCCTTCCCTATGCACGCCTGGTGAAGCATCTGGGGTGATTTGATGCACCCACAGAATCATTTAAATGTAGAGAACACAGAAGCAGTGAGTGTCAACTACATGACTACATCTCATTCTCACCCCCAACCCCTTTTTCGTTTGTCTTTTTTGAAACAGGGTTTCTCTGTTAGCCCAAGCTATCCTGGAACTCCCTCTGTAGACCAGGCTGGCCTTGAACTCACAGAGATCTGCCCACCTCTGCCTCCCCAGTGCTTTGATTAAAGGCATGTGCCACCATCTCCTGGCTCTTTTCTTTTTATAGAAATGGGATGTGCCGTTGTGAAGGTTTGAAGAAAAGGTGTTGTTTGGACCCATGGAGAAACTTGCAACCGAGTCCCATGAACTGCTGGGTGAGGCCTGCCTAACTTCCTGGAGTCCTCTGCTCAAGGCTGAGGAAGTTTCTCGAGGACTGGAGAGCTGACTCTGCAATCTGGGAAGGCCAGACCCACTTGTCTGCTTGTCTAGGTCAATTACAAGTCCAGGGAAGAAATAGTAAAGGCCACCAGGAAGGTCCATCTCCTCCTGTCTTTTATAAGAGGATCATTTTGCATGGAGGGACAGTGAGTAGTGGGGTTTGGGTCTCATCTGGCAGGATCAGGTAGAAATGATAAATCCTAGCATGCGTTACCAACAGTAGCAGTCAGAGACTCGGTGTGTTTATTTGATTCATTTGTATCAAGGAGGTGGGTTTATTGTAAGCAGCTGAACAAAAGGGCAGGTTCAGCTTGGGGGGGGGATCTCTTTCTGGGAGCAGTCTCAGGCTGTAAAAATCAGGGAAGAGGAGGCTTCTGCTGGCACTTTCTCCATACATCGTCAGCATCTGCGCCAGGTCAGGGAGCAGGGGAAGGTTTTGCCATTTCTGGGAGTCGGGTCCTGGGGTCCTTGACATGGCTGTGCTCTTGTCAACAACACACATTGACACAGGAGGGCATCTGCTCCCCAGAGGCGTGGATCCTGTTCCATGGTCCTTGAACACCTGGGTCAGCTGACAAAATTTCACCCAAGAGTAAGAGGGAAGTGACGCACCGAAGTGACTGCGATCCAGACACCTTGAAGGAGAGGCATGACGCCAGCCTGCCTTTGCCCTCGGAGGAGCTACATACGCACTTCTTCACTGGCTTCATCCTATAACTGGATGTACCTCTAAGCATAACGGTCTCAAACTGTTGGGCACAACAAAGACGCAGTTTGTGCTTTGAGGTCCCCTCTTCCCCGTCCAAATGTGCTGAGCCCCATAGTGAGCTGTCGCCTGTCACTTGTCAGTGTTACTGCCTCAGAGTTGCTCTCAAGAGCAAGACAGACAAGCATGCTTGGTACCCTGGGGTCACGTGTTGCCTTCAAATCCTTCCTTCCTTCTCTTGCTGCTGGCTGAAACCCTGATAAACCCCCTCCACCCACTGGGGAGTGAAGCTAGCAAGTGAGTCTTTGGTCTATGTGTAAGTGGTATGTCAGAAACAGCGAGAAGAACAGTTCTGCCCTCAAGGAGCTCATGTGCTTTCTGAGAAGACAAGACCAATCCACAGAGAGGAGACAGGAGCTGGAAAACCACAGTCTGAAGAGACCACACCTTTGCTAAGGTGTGGAATAAAGGTGTGACAGGGTCAGTATCTTACATACAGGTGAGTAAGGCCAGGGCCAGGTGAACAAGGCAAGGGCCTTCATGTGGGAGGGGTTATTTGTGACAGAAATCAGAGGCCACCACTCTAGACCATCACTGGAGTCTGAGAGTAGATTCCTTGTGGGCTCAGGGAGATTCCAGCTAGGAGCAGGCCCCTTTGCTCTGCAGTAACAGCTCCGTGGGAAGAGAGGACCGTAGCAAAGGCTTGGTGGGGCGCTGACTGGGGGTGCTCCCAAGAGGCAGGGCTCCTGAACATGATGGATTGCTTTCTGTGTGCTGCAAACTCTCCCACCTGTAGGGAAATGGCTTAGAACAGGTACAAGAATTTAAACTGTCAAATTGTTTGCTGACTTGAGCTGCGAGTGGGAAGTGAGCTGGGGAGGGGTCTATGCTCTCCTACAGAACAACAGGGAATCTCACTAGGTGCATGCATGTGACTGCTCCACAGGTCTGAGGACCTGAGGTTCACTGAGGCTCACTGCCATCACCGTAGTCCTGACCTCTCCCATCATGTCTCCTTCATTTCCTAGTCATAGCAGTTTCTGAAAGCCAGCCTACTCTTCTCCTCAACAAAGACATCTCCTTTCTTGGCTCCTCTCCCATATACAGTGTTCCCTCAGCCATGCCCCAAGTAAAAGTTTAACCTTTCCACCTATGAGAGGCAGCCTGCCTTGTCTATAAGCAGCAAAGAAATCAGCAAGATATGGCTAACTGTAGGTTGACCTGAAAAGCTGGGAGAATGGACCAGGCTAGAAAAGCACATCCAGGACCATCTGAGTGTGGTTCTTCCCTGGAGAAAGATGTTCATCCACGTAAGAGCCTGCAGCTTTGCCAGGGAAGGGAGAACAGGGTGGAGGGCTGGAGGTGAGAGGTGCCTACCTGTCTGGGACCAGGACGTTAGGTGGGGTTAGATGTTAGCTCAAGGGAGGTGTCCTCTTGCGCTCTAAGGGTGGGGGCATAAACGGTAGAAGGGTACGGTGGCCATTCCTGCATACAACAGATAGCCTAGAGAGTCCAATTATGATCTGAAAGGTTTCTGGGTAGTAGGTGGGAGAGGGACTGGCTGGAGTTTGCAGAAGGTAACCAGGAGAGAGAGGCTCTCCGTGTACAGCATCTGCCCACCACAAGCTGCCTGTGTAGGCAAAGAACCACGGCGAAGCAGCTGACTCTAGTATCACACACAGTGTCGATCACTGCCTGACTTGATGAACGGATGCAGGGAAACGATTCTTCCCTTTTTGTTCCAGGAAAGGCTTTTTTTTTTTTTCTGTCTTAAACCAAGGTCTCACTGCCCATTCATTAATCATCTTAACACTGCGAGGCTCTGCATCGTGTCTGGCCTCTGACGATGCTGGAGACAGGACAGGCAGCTGATCCCACTCTGACTACTCAAGCTCACTTACGGGTATTGTCAGCAGTATTACTCACTACAGGGTAGGTGCCCTATACATTCCTCGCGCAAAAATTATGCAAGATGATAAGCTTTTTTTCATACACTTTAACACTAAATTTGCATAGATTTAACAAGCACAAAACTCTATAAATAAATTATGTTTAAATGCAGGCATGAATACTTACTCCAAAGTCTGTAGGTGCCTCATTTGTCAAAGACAAAATGTACTGGGATAATTTTTTAGATACAACATTATGTTTTGCTTTTTCCATTTAAAACCCCATTGTGATTCTGCCCTGTGCTTACGAAACATTTTTTTTCTAGGCTTTCTTTCGAAAGGCCAGGCTTTCACTGTTGATCTTTACAAGTTAAAATAAAACACAGTGGCTTCTTACTCAGGTGTTGGTTCATCCATCCATCCATTGGTCATTTCTTAGGCATCTCCCATTAGGGCCAGACACTGCGCTAAGCCTCAGAGATGCAATAGTAAATCAGGTAAAATCCTGCTTCCCACATCCTTGTGGACCACACCCACTAGAGCTCTGGTTCCTGAAGTCGGGAAAACAGTGTTCTTTTCCAGCCTGGCTTGTTCTGCTCTCTTGTCCATTCTTTTTCCTTCATTCATGCCTGCATCACTCCCTGGGTTTTCAGGAATTAAGATTGAGCAGGAGCATCCTCAACATATGCAGAAGAAACAGAGCGGTCCACATCAAACCCGAGATGCAAAGACAACACCAGCACCCTTCCTTGATCACCAGATCTGCTGATGTCACTGACAGCGATAGTTATTATTCTAAAGACTACTCGGTTCACTGCAAGAGCCAGCTACGCAGTTGTCCTTGCCTCCCTTCCTGGCTCTCAGTCAGGCACCTAGGGGTGACTGGAGAATGTCCCGTCTGCTTCCTGAAAGATCCAAACTGACACAAATGAAGCTCCCCTGAGGGCCATTGCTCTGCCCTTCCCTGCACCAGGCTTCCAGAATCTTCCTCACCCAGAGACCTGACCCCTTCTCTCCCACCCCTGCGTGATCAGTACTGTGTCTAAGCATAAGGGCCATGTGGGCATTCCCTAGGAGCTGAGCATTGATGCAGAACTTGAAGCCCATCAGCTCGGCTCAACGCTCTTGGTCATCAGACCCTGGGAATCTCTCCCAAACTCCAGAATGTAATGGAATTTAAGTAAGGGAGAACTGTGGTTAGAGCCGAGTTGATCTGATGTTCTCAACTGTGGAACGGGGCTTGAAGAGTTGTGGGAAGGCAAAAACTACCACTTCTTGCTGGTAAAAGGGCTATACCTTAAACTTTCTTCAAACATATGCTGTGAGATTTGTGGACACGCCCAGCACCCTCTGTGCCCCAGGTCACATTGCCGTCTCACAGCACGACTAATCAAAGCAGGCTCACCTTGCCAGCCAGGCTTACACACTGGCTTCACGTCCACTTGTACCAGGGTGTCCTGAGCAGCAGGTTTCTGTCCACAGTCATAAGCGGTTACCAGGATCTCATACTGACGTTGTTTGTCAAAGCTTAGCTTCTCTGTGTTCCTGATGTTGCCTGAAGAGCAGGGATATGCACAATCATTTCTGGTCAAATGAAGCACTTATCCAAACCCTTTCCCATCCCATCAACCTTTGGAGGGGAATGAAATGTCCCCCTCCAAATTCTCTGTGAAAATAAAGGTCAAGAAAGAATGCGGGCTGCCACACATAGTCTCTGGGCTTCCAGAAGAGCACTGGCTGGAGCCAGCTCTCTGTGCAATAAAAGAACTAGAGAAATCCAAGCAGCACCTGGAATCCAACTGGCCTGAGCTTAAAGTAATGAGTTACCAGAAAGCTACCCTTGAAAGTGCACATGTGTGTCTCGGGTGCTGGGCTCAGAGTGCTCATCTTCCTTGAAGTTTCTGGGAAAGAGACAGAATCCAGACAATGTCCTGGCACATAATTTTTAGTGTCTGGGCTTGTCGCCAGGAATACTTACTGCCTCTTCTCACATTATTTTGCTACCAAATAGGAAGTAAAATCAATAAGAAAATGTGTGACCTCTCTTCTGAAAGCTGCATAGAATAACAGATTTCTTGCCCCGAGGAAGGAGACATTTTTCTTCGCCAAGAGAGAACAAACAGTGTATTCACAGTCATTTGTGTGTGTTTGCCTCAGAGGAATTTAATATTATGATCAGAAATAAATATTTGATCATTAATGAGTGAAACTTAGGCTGGCTGGTCTTTTCGTTTGTTTTGTTGTTAGTTTGATTTTGATGGAATACTATTCTTATTCTAAAGGAAAAATAAATAAACAAAGACACCAAACTCAACACTTTCAAGTGTTTAGTGCTAAGACATGAACATCATCAACTTCTAGGAGTCATTTCCTTCCAATATTCATAATCTCTCTCTCTCTCTCTCTCTCTCTCTCTCTCTCTCTCTCTCTCCTTTGATGCTAGCAGTGACAGCAAATATGAATGAACTCAGATGTTATCATCTCTTACGCAAATTGAAATTTTGAAAACAGAAGCAAAACAAATCAACAAACACAGAATGGCAGATTCTGATACCTATTTTATAATTTCCTAACACTAAAAGATATTTGTGTAAATAAGCTTTCTTCATTTCTACAGTTAAATATTATTCATCTGAATTGGGGGCATCTTCTCACAAAAATTTCTTGGAAAATTGGCAAATCAAACTTTGCTCTGAAGACCAGAGAAGCTGGTTCATCAATCCCATCCAGCAGTGTATCACGGTGGGGAAGTGGAGGCTGGTCGGTGTCAGAGAAAATGCAAAGCACCCAAGAAATTGGAGCCAAACCCCACCTTAGCTGTGTTCTCTCAGCTATTTCTGGAAACACAGCTGTATCTATTGATGTGGAACCATATTTTCAGAGTAAAAATGGGCTTGCTATGTTTCTGTCTTCCTGCCTGATATGTAGAATTCCTTGTGCTTCCTTCCAGATGTTGGTTGGTTTTGGTCTGAAGGCCTGAACAGGTCTGGAATGGCTCCCAGGATTGGTAGCATTCCCTTTAGCCTCATTTCTCTACCTACTGGTTGCAGCCTCTTTCCCAGGGGTCACCTAAGACCATCATATATATATATATATATATATATATATATATATATATATATATATATATATATTTGTATTACAATTCATGACAGTATCAAATTACAGTTATGAGAAAATAATTTTATGATTGGGGGTCACCAAACATGAGGAACTATATTAAAGGGTTACAGCACTAAGAAAAAAAAAACCCAACAACAACAACAAAAAAACCCTAAGAACCTGTGTCCTATGGACTCTGCAAACTGGTCTGTGGCTGTTCTCATCACAGGAAGGGATTCTGCCAAGTTCATTGCAGGAAATACTTCTGCAGCACCAGCCTGAATTCTGAATTGAAGTCTTAACTCTCTTTCTTCAGGGTGAAATGACTCTGGAAAGGTAGGCCACTTAAAAGAGGGGAACTCAGGGTTGACAATCCATGTAGCAGTAAGCAGACAAAGCACTATTGATTGTAGCCAAAAAGAAAACACACAAACTGAATCTTTGGCTCAATTTGTTGCGGCTCTACTTCCGGAACAAGTCTTAATGAAAGTGTCTGGGAGACTAATTTACTTTCTCCACCACCACCAACTCCGTGCATGTGTAAATGAGTTTCAAAGAAAAGAACTTGAAACATTAGGTCACAAATGAGAGTATAATAACACGGCTCACTGTTGCATGGGAGAAGGTTTCTTGAGGAGAAAACAATCATTTAAAACTCGTTGAAAGCTCAGAGAAATTCGCCATCTTTGTGTCTGTTGCAAATGTATCTTTTATTCCACCTTTGAGAGAGCTCCTACTTCCTGGCTACTTGCTGGAGCTGGGCCACAACAAACTCAGGTGAGCTGTGGTCTTAGGTCTGATTAAAGTCTAAACGAACTTGGAAGCTAACCAGTAATGGCCAATGAGAACTTACTTTGAATTCTTTAAAAAAAAATTAAACGTAGAAGAGGAAGGTGAACTTAGCACAGTGCTATGCACACTCTTGCAGGTAGAATTTAAGTTGTAACTACCATTCTGGAAATGTGTTTAAGATTAAGACTCTCTCTGTGTGTGTGTGTGTGTGTGTGTGTGTGTGTGTGTGTGTGTGAAATTGCTCAGACCTTTGCAAATGCAATTTCTCATCTAAAAACTTGGTTCTAGGAAAATGATAAAGGACAACAAGCTGCAGATACATGTGTGATTCTGTTCCAAAACTAGTCTGGTAGTTAAGAGCCAAGGAAGGTATGAGTCTATACATCTATGGAATGCTGACCAGGTGGGAAATACAGAGGATTTTTAAGGATGATTAATATACAGATAATTTCATTTTGAGCAAAAAAGAAAGGGGGAGAGTAAGGATAATGTGGTCTTAATTTTATTTAAAAATTTTGAGGAAAAATGGTAGACTATTAATCTGGTTAGAGTGTGTGTGTGTGTGTGTGTGTGTGTGTATTTGTGTGTGCAGGCCAGAGGTCAATGCTAGTTCTCCATCTCATTTTTTTTTTCTTAAAGTATCTCTCTGAGCCTGACACTGGCCTATTAGGTTAAACTGTCTAGTCAACAAGCCCCAGGGACTGCCCTATCTCCATCCCCACCCCCGGTGTGAGGTTTCCAGGAATGTGTCATTAAACCTGGCTTTGACAGGGTGCTGGGAACAGAACTCAGGTCCTCATGCTTGTGTGGCAAATGCTTTCTCTCAGAACTGTCCCTTCAGCTCCCAGTACTGTTTCTTTATTTGTTTTTGGTTGATGCATGACTTATTTCTGACTCTCATAATTTTGTGTGTTCCAAATTTCCCACATGGATTATTTCTCTATTCTCTATTTACAGCTTACCTAAAGAATGTGCTGGGTTTGGGACACATCAACTTCAATGTCCTCAGTGGCCTAGAATTCCTAAGAGCAACCTTTACCCGGGGAGATGCGCAGCTGAGATCACATGGAAAACAAATGACTGCGTACACATAGAAAACTCCGCCGAGGCTTGGGTGTCATTGTGCCATGGAAACCCTTGATGCTTCCTCCTCTCTCATTCCCTAATGTGGTCCAGTGAGTGACTGTGCTGCACAAATGCACTCAGACACTTAATTCCAAGCTTACTGATAAAGATTCAAGACAAAGGGGAGCTAGGTTTCAAGGACTCTCATGCCTGCTCCTCCCAGATGACGAATGAAAGGAGAGCCAGCTTTTGTGTGCTTCCCCTGGATGTATAAGTCACATCTGACAAACACTATATATTTAGGGCATTGTGTTGCCAGCCTTTTAGTCACTGTGACATGTATCTGATAGGAACAACTGAAAAGAGGAAAAGATAGATTTTGAATCATGGCTTCAGAGTTTTTAGCCCATGGTCAGCTGACTCCATTACTTTTAGGCCCATGATGAGGCAAAATGCCACAGTCAAGAGCATTCAGTGGGCAAAGATGCTTGATTCTTAATGATCAGGAAGCAGAGAAAGACAAGAGACAGGCTAGGGACAAGATATACCCTGAAAAGGCATACTCCCAATGACCCCCTTCTTTCAGGCAGACCCCACCTCTCAGTTCCCACACCCTCCGACAAGACCACCAGAAGATTAATCTTCTGATGAGGTCAGAGTCCTCCTGATCCAACCATCTCTCCATGACTGGGTTCATTAGTAGGAGACGAAGTCTTAATATAGAAACCCTTTGGGTGCCTCTAATGTCTATACTACAAGTGGACAGTGTGTCGGCTTGATACAACAGCACACCTTGAAAGGGCTCCCATAGTCAAGACTTTAATATTTAATATAGGTACAGTTCACAAAGGTATGTGTGTATTTGAGGATACTTGATATCTACACTCAGCAAAATTCAAACTATAGTGCATATAATCCATAGCAGCTGTGGTTGTCATATTCTCATTAGGTCCCCAATACCGATTTCCCTTAGAGCCGAATGCTTGCACACGCTGACTGATGTCTCCCATTGTTCCCACTCCTAAGTCCCTAGTAAACACCACCCTACTCTCTAATACTGTGAGTTCAACTTTTTCTCTAGCTCCACATGTACATGAGATTATAAAATATTAGTTGTTCTCTCTTGCTGATTTACCAAATATGATGCCCCTCATGCTATCAAACTTGTTGCAGATAAACCACTTTCTTTTTTTTTTTTTTTTTTTTTTTTTTTTTTTTTTTATTTTAATTTATTTATTTATTAAGAATTTCTGCCTCGTCCCCACAACCGCTTCCCATTTCCCTCCCCCTCCCCCGATCAAGTCCCCCCCCCTCTCATCTGCTCGAAGAGCAATCAGGGTTCCCTGACCTGTGGGAAGCCCAAGGACTGCCCACCTCTATCCAGGTCTCCTAAGGTGAGCATTCAAACTGCCTAGGCTCCCACAAAGCCAGTACGTGCAGTAGGATCAAAAACCCACTGCAATTGTTCTTGAGTTCTCAGTATTCCTCATTGTCCGCTATGTTCAGCTAGTCTGGATTTATCCCATGCTTTTTCAGACCTAGGCCAGCTGGCCTTGGTGAGATCCCAATAGAACATCCCCATTGTCTTAGTGTGTG